TAGATTGTATCTAGAGAACCCTTCTCGAAGTATGATATATTTTATCTCTTATAAAAAACAGATGATGTCACGGGTAATACCCAGCCATTAATAAGTGAAATAAACTTGTGCATTTGTGTTAATAATTGCTGGGTAAAACCTAATCTAAAATTATTAATAACGTTATTATCTGTATACTTACCATATAAAAATTATATATTTAATTGCCATTAGAAGGTCTTGGAGGGTTAGCGATATAACACTTTACTTTCGGTGCATAGTGCAAACATATCAATTTTTTTTTATCATATAGGTCTATTATAGACTCTTATGATATGTCAAATCTACCGTTAGTTCGTAGTGCTTTCGAGCTGAGTAGAATTGACAAGAATAAACTTGTACATGTTTACAATAATACAGATTCATTTATAAATTTACTAATAAAGTGAGCAATTTTGTCAAAAACAAATAGTCTGATCAGTATTCATAACCCGAACAGACCAGTCCCCACAAATAGCACCCGTTCATATATTCATGAGTATGATTGTTTGTATCAGTCTGGGTGTTTTCCTTGTATATTATATATATATTTAAATATTTAAATCAGTTGTCTAGTACCCATAACATAAGTTCTACTTAGCTTGGGGCTGGGTGACGCAGTGTGAATTGTCCAGGGATATTATAATTATTTAAATACAGTGTGGTTGGGGGGAAGGGGGTTGTTAGTAATGGGGATTAATAACCCCATTGTTAGCAATGTACCATGTCAGGTTGACCTCCACGCTGTTCCTCTTGGAAACCATCGTAATAAATTCACAGTGAATTTACCACGTTGGGGGCTAACTGACCTGATCTCCTGCTCTTCTTATCATCCTCTACGGGTGTCTCGCCAGCGTAAACCATTAGCGGGTGCAACATTCCATTATCATCCATAAGAAAAAATACAGTGATCATTAAATGATTGTGTGTTCTGTTATGTATGATCAGTGCCTTTGTAATGACAATGTAGCTACCATACGAAGATAACCTGCACATTATGTTTTTAATTGCCTATTTTTCATATAAGAGACATTAATAAGATAAATATAATTGACTATTCTAAGATTTTACTGCCGAGTAAAAAAAAATTATTATATAAATTTTATCGGTAAGTAACAAAAACTACGATGGTACCAAGTCGTAAAACTATTACTACTAAAATGTAGTAGGTACTATGTTTTAAACAATTGATATTATTTATTTGTTAACTCTATTACCAAACGTGTGATATAAGATTTTTTAAGATTGTTGTGTGCTGTTATTTAAAATTTTGTTACTGTATTGTATTCTTAGTATACTCTATTGTTAGAGTGTTACAAACTTACAAAACAAAATCAAACAAGAATTATAATTAAAAGTGTAATTGATTTACAGAAGACGGTCTTACTGCTCAAAGAATTTGGAAATTTGATATTTTTAAAATTGAAAATAAAATATAAAGTTTTAATAGTTTATTAGGGTATATTCTTTAAAAACCATGAACTATATCACTATAGTAATAAAATGTTTTTAAATCTTTTTCATTAATTATTAGATATATATACAATACAATTGTACATACATCGAATTACTATTTTTAAATTTAAATAATATTACAGTATATTAACTATATATTTTTATCTTGGTCTTAAATTTCTATACAATACTTTTTTATTTTTTGTCCGTATTTTGGCGCCAAAGTTATTTTACTTTTTTAATATTATTACTTTTTTTATATTATTTAGACTAAAGGCAACGGGACAAAACCAAAGTTATATTTACAGTATTACAATTAACAAATTGATAATAATTATAATATTGAGACAATATTCAAAGTGGGATATTTAACAGTAATCTAAGTTACTTCTTATAACATTAGCTATCTACGAGTGATAGAAGTGTACGAGTGATGATATTATTAAATAATATTACTTTGCTGTTGCCTCAAAGCATTTTGACACGATATTATTTCATTATGTATTGTTTTATTAAGTACTTGACATGTAATGACAACTGTCACTAAACATCAGAGCTGTCAATGGTACAAACAAAATAGACGTTACTACGTACATACGTCAATAAGTTTTTTACCACTCATTTATAGCAGTAGATAATTCATAGAAATATGTATGTACATACATCTTATCTTAATAATATAAACGCGAAAGTTTGTAAGTATGGATGTTTGTTACTCTTTCACGCAAAAACTACTGGACGGATTTTGATGAAACTTTACAGTAATATAGCTTATTGTATCAGAATAACACGTAGGCTACACATATATAATAATTCAGACCAATCAGTTAATTAGTCAAACTTTTAATATGAATAAATAAATAATCCTGGACGATTTACTCAGCGCCATCTAGTCCGGTAATCAGAGCTTGTGTTATGGGTACTAGACAACTGACATACATACTTAGATAACTTTTTTTAATACATACATAATACACATAGAAAATACCCAGACCGCTACAAACAATCATATTCACGAATACAAAGGTTTGAATCGTGCGAGGAACCCGCGACCATCGTAGGTAAAGCGATGTGCTAAACTGCTAGACCACCGAGGCCGTCAATAAGAAGATATTAGATATCGATGATTATATTATCGATCGTAATGTAATTAAAGAATATTCCTGAATGTGACATAGTTATTTATAACTATGAGTAACATATATAAACTATTAGTCTCAAAAAAAACCTTAGATTATGCTATCAAAAATGAAAATACTTCTATGTATGCTATCATGTAGGTACATTAAAAAACACCTATACAAATATAAACGCACGCAATACTCATGAATACAAAGTTTGTATTCTACAGGTATTTTACCGGAGACCGTCGGAATAAAGAAATAAATAATAACTCTGTTCAATTCACATGCGTCGTCTAATCCCAAGCTAACCTTGTTATCTGTCTTAGAAAAAACTTAGAAATAGTTTACATTTTTTTGTAAATCCATACATAATATACATATAGAACACCCAGACCAATACAAACATGAATACAATTGTTTTATTGGGCGAGAAATCAAACTTGCAACCACCGGAAGTAAAGTGTGCTAGACGGCTGAGCCGTAGAATTTTTTTAAATTTAATTAGAATAGCGAACAAGCTGGACATATACATGAACAGCAGAACAGCACATCAGTTTAGATGTAACACCCTTGATACCACTCAAGTGTTGCCATTAAAGTTGTCATGCCTCTTATCCTGTAATTTTACCGCCTAATCTGCACCCTACAAACACACAGCTAATAAAGCAAGCTGCTTGGCGGCTGAATTATAATAATACCTTTGGTTATTATTATTTACCTATGGTTAGGGTTGCCATCTCTAAAATTTGGAGACCAGGACAAGACGCGTGAAAACCCCGGATTTTAGAGTCCAGAACTCGGACATGTCAACAGGTTTTTTAAACATAGTCAGTGTAATAAAAACAGTTAATAATGTCATAAATCACCTTTTTATTTGTTTTAGACCTTAAAATTAAATGTAGTCGTTTTTTATCATCTTTTTAAATGTTTCTAACAAAATATAATGTTATTACAGTTTGTTACAAATTGTTTTAATAATCAGTTCTATTTTTTTGCTCTTAAAATAATACAGAAATTATTAATATACTTTATTATTAAATCTAAAAAAAATTACATTACCCCGGACACTCTCCGGATGCCCCCTAAACTAGGACAAATCTGGGGAAACCCACACGGATGGCATCCCTATCTATGGTAAATGTCCCAATAGTGGTAGTGGGTTACCGAGTTAGCGAGGTTGTTTATATTTCAATACAGTTTAAATCTTAATTATGATCATCACAAGTCAAGACAGATTAATTTTACTATGTTTACAAATTAACTATTACTCTAACGGATTTGCGATAACCGGGTACCGTTATCTTTTAACACAAATAACAATTATAACTACTAAACGGAAAATTACTTTGTAAGTTTGTTAGCATTATTAATTTATGGTTTAAAAAACGTTGGTTACAACATGATTAGGTGTGAAAACGTGCTCTGTTTGTTACGTAATAAGGTTATAATTCCCGTGGCGACAATATATTTTGCTGTATCATACCAAAATCATGGAATTATATAATGAACGAAGACGAAAGACGCCTCAGTTGCTAACATGTGTGATAAGAATGTATCATTGAACTATTTAATTATCTTTGTGTCACCAACTGTAGGTACCATAGACTACAGCCGTGAAACGGTAATGCAAGCGTTATGTTCCGGGCATGTATTTCTTATATATAATAGTGTTTTTTATAGACTAAATGCGGAAAGAATAGCTACATACATAATAATAGCTTTAGATAATTTAACGATTATGTACGTACTTTGTAATGATAATTTTGTATATATTTAGTTCGAAATAATCCCTTTCTGAGCCATTGACTTTCTCAATTTTATTTCTTCAATTTTAAATTAAATGTAATTATTTATTCCATTTATATATACTATGTATTATATATGTAAATAGCATTAACTGTCGTGGTCTAGCGGTTTAGCACATCGCTTTATATCGGATGGTCACGGGTTCGATTCCTCGCACGGTGCAAACGGTACTTACAAAAATGTATCTATCTGTTTGTATCAGTCTAGTATCCATAACAGAAGGTCTGCTTAACTTGGCACTAGATGGCGCTGTGTGAATTGTTCTGAGTTATTATTATAATTTATATTTTATATATTTCCCTTTGATGGGGTGATATACTTGTCATTGCGTCTGAAAATCACCAAACGATGACAACTATAAAAGAAATGATGATGATGAAGATTGATTGATTGATTGATTTTTTGCTCTTAAAATAATACAGAAATTATTAATATACTTTATTATTAAATCTAAAAAAAATACATTACCATTAGATGACAACTATAAAAGAAATGATGATGGTGAAGATTTTTTAAACGGAAGATTATTATTATTATTCTCTTGTCACATTTTCTCAGATATTATTATTATTAATAGTTGTCTATGGTTTGTTTCAGACGAGATGCCCGTGAAGGACGGCACCAAGAAATCGCTTGTTGGTGTCATTGACGACGGTACTAAGACTGTGAGATTTGTGGTAAGTGTATAATGACAGAATACATGCTAATATTATATATGTATGTCTGTCTGTCTCTATTTTCCCTTTTGACAACTAAACGGCTGAGCAGATCTTAGGAACTTTTTTAGCAGGAAGGCAAGCATAGGCTATATTTTATTTGAAAAACGAAAGTAGACGAAGTAGCGGGAAACAGCTAGTATATATATATACAATATCGGAATCTTAATAGGGCTGGCAGACAACCGACATTTATTCCTAATAGATAATAAACTTCGTACAAATTCGTCTACGCAAGTACCTTCATCCTACCTGTTTTAGCAGCCTACAAATAGTTTGCATTGTAAGGAGGGTGGGATAAAGCAGAAATTAAAGGATTTGGAGGCATGACATCGACATCGTCAAAATGACGTGATATCTGTAAAGTATATAGGCGACAGTTACCACTTACCATCAGGTAGGTCGACACCTTCTATTCCATTCCAATTATATAACAAACAAAAAAGCATATTTGGGCGGACAATATGTTTCACAGCGATATAAAAAAAATATTAGTCGGGAATTGGTTACAGATATACGAAGCGGAGAGGTCTGAGGAATTAGCGGCGTACCAGTTAGATAAGACAGAGGTACAACCTCAGGAAGGATGGTCGGAACAGGATCCCCTGGAAATCATTCACCACATCAGGATATGTGCCGAGAACGCCATAGGAAAACTACCAGATTTAGGTGAGATTAATAATAATGAACCCCATAATAATAATTCATAAAGAGCCATCTAGCTCCAACCCTATTTATTCAGACGAGCTCTGATTACGCGTAGGTTCTAGACAACTTTTTGTTTATGGCACAACGACAAACGATTTTGGGGTTCACCTGATGGTAAGTTATTACCGCTGCCCATGAGCACTCGTAACACTGGGAATTGCAAGTGAGTTGCCGGCCTATTAAGAAGAAATAAGCTCTTTTCGTGAAAGTTTCAATATAGTATCGGTTCGGATATACCATTGCTGGAAGGTGATTCCACAATGTGATGGTGTGTGCAAAATGTTTCAGAAAAAAACGCACTGTGGAGGATCGACATTCAATTAGATGATCAGGATGCTGTAACTGATATTTTTAAAGTACCCAAATAATGTACGTAGGAAATACCCAGACTAATACAAAAATCATACGCTATATGCGTATGTATGCGCAATACAAATGTTTGTATTGTGCAATGAATCGAATCAAATCTCTAAATGAAAGTTACTACACGTGTGTCTGCTCTGTTCTCTTCATTTCTATTTGAGTAATATGAGGTAGTCAGAGAGATTATGAATTGTGACGTTTTAGTGGAAGCAATACTGGACATTTCGCTGGGTATATTTGAATCTAACGTGGTTGAAAGCGAGGCTAGTCGTAGTAGCTTTAGTCTCTTGGACTATAATAGTTTGCTAGTCATATAAATTGTCATAAAGTTGTTTGTCAGTCAACTACTAGGCTGCGATGGGTGTTATTGATTTGTATATAATGTACGTGGATAACACTCAGGCAGATAGAAGTCATAGAATCATACTCATGATTATAGTCAGGGTAGTCAGATCGTAACGTAATCTAAATTATTTGGCTAATTCAGGTATTAACCGCGTCGTCTGGAGATCGACCTTGCAGGGTCCAATACTAAACATGGGGTTACTAACCCAACAATTAGAAAACCTATTCGTCCATTCTTACTGGTTAATACGGTTTGTGTTCTTAATACTTATATGATGTTCTTTTTCCTCAGGTTACACGAAAAATGACATAATCACATTAGGGATAACAAATCAAAGGGAGACGACAATAGCATGGGACAAAGTCACAGGTCAACCACTGCATCCTGCTATAGGTAAATTGTAATTTATGTATTTATATCCACTTTAATATACAAACAGATAACACACACACAGTTTTCACCTGATCATGATTTTAAGATGTTATCTATACATATAAATAAAATTGGAGTGTCTGTTTGTAATATTGAAATAACCGTTTTTTACTACATGCATATGAATATAAATACGGTATATACACCAAAATAACATTTTTTACAATTTTTGTCTGTCTATTCCAGCTAATATTTGAAATGGCTGGACCCATTTTTACGGGACATTTTTTGACAGGTAGCTAATGTAATAAGGAGTAACTTAGGTTCCTTTTATTTTAGAACAATTAAATTAAATTCCACGCGGACGAAGTCGCGGGAACAGCTAGTTATATATAAAATGTGTAAATATACAATAAATAAATAAATTTATTCCAGCATGGAACGACATCCGAACGAGTACCACAGTGGATGCAATTTTAGCAAAAGTGCCAGATAGGAATAAGAATTACTTAAAGAACATCAGCGGTCTTCCAATCAGTCCATACTTCAGTGCTCTGAAGATGAAGTGGCTTAAGGATAACGTGAAGGCAGTGAAGAAAGCCAACAAAGAGAGGAAGCTTCTGTTTGGTACGGTGGACTCTTGGATTGTTTGGGTATGTCAATGTAAATTGGACTCTATTCAAATCAAATCAAATCTTTTATTCATTTAGGACATTTATGCTGCTTATGAACGTAATTTTTTTTGTATTAATATCTTTTACCTTGTCCAGTTCATTAGAAATTTAATTGAGAGGAATTGGCAAGAATCTTCATTGTTTTTCTAAAAAGCCAGTTTATTTGCATTATGTACTTATATGGGTATCTACGCCTAACATTAAGTGAAAAACCACTCATTCATTCATTCATAATTTAAGAGCTACGCTCTTGTCGGTGGAGCTCTTGCCACTTTCCGCGATCTTGCATCATGCTCTTTAATTCTTCATATGACACGACTCCCATTTTGTCCTCAAATTGTTTGATGTAGCTATTCCTTGGTCTTCCCCTCCCCCTCTTTCCTTCTATTTTCCCCTCAATAATAATTTTCATGAAACCCATGTCACGTCAAAAAAAACTCATGTCAATTAGCCTCTCATATGGGCCGTTGTGCTTGTAGAGGATCGTTTGGTTATGTGAAATTTGTAATCAAGCCTCCAAATTTTTTATACTTTCACATCTATAATTCGATTATATTAAGGTAGACTTTATACAAAGTGGTCTGCGTGGGTGTCCCAGTCTCACCTATTTGAGCCGCCAAGCAAATTACTATGTAAGTTATGTTTCTGCTGAAGAGTTCTTACTCTATTACTTTATAGCAGTTAAATAACAGGGTACGGAGGCACGCTACGTCTTAGGCTCAGTCATGGAGGAACTAAAAATGGCAACACATGGATACTCTTCATGTGTTGCCATTTCTAGTGCCTTTATTTACAAGCATACGGCCCATCTGATGGTAAACATGGAATGGTCGTGTATCGTGTCTAAAATTAGCATTTTTTAATAAATGCTAACTGTATTAACAGTTTAATTAATAAATAAGTAACAATTGTATTAAAAAGATTATAGTATTAATCGAATCACCTTGTACCTATTGTACCACATTTTTTAACACGGGAAAAAAATAATTATTTACCTTTACGTAATATAAGACAAAAACACTGCCGCTATCTCTACGCTTAGATCTCCTAAACTACGCAGTGGATTTTAATATAGCTTACTGCAATAGACACTATAATATACATGTATTAATATAAACCTTCCTCTTGAATCACTCTTGATTCTTGATAGTACAGAAAAGCCGAGAAATATTTGTACTGTATAATTTATATGGTAAACGGATAGCTAGTAATGTATATAATAATTATATTAATGTATATAATAATTATATTATGCATATTAAAATATATTTTCAGACATTAACGGGCGGCGCAAACGGCGGTCTTCATATAACTGACGTCACAAATGCATCCCGGACATTGCTTATGAATTTGGACACCTTGAATTGGGATCCTATGCTTTGCCGGTGAGTTTAGAAATTGGCGCCATTTTGCTGGAATGTTTTGACTGTAAGAATAGAATCGAAAATACTTTATTCGCTGTCTTTCGAAGTCTCGATAAAATTTGTTTATTATTGCAGCTTACATTTCCTTAGAGTGTCAGAATTATAAATAGACACACATGTTTGTTTTGGTGTTTACTAGATTTGAACTCACGACCTTTATGGTCGAAGTCGGGCAGTAAACCACTAGGCCATGACGCTATTAATCATTCGGTATTATCTTATGTGTTTACTTTATTTATATACTTCTTATTTACCTAGAGGCATAAGAACTAGTGTAATAGTGTATAGTATAGTAAAGTAAGATATATCTTAACCTAACTATATATCAAACTCCTTTTAAATCCGTACAGTCTATTATTAGTCAGCATGACTAAGATTTTTTAAGATGTTAAGGTTTCTTAAGGTATTTTTTTTATTTTGTTTTTTTTTATGATGATAATGGAATGCGCTAACGGTTTACTCTACACGATGATAAGATGAGCATGAGGTCAGGTCAGTTAGCCCATCGTAACAAATTCACCATAAATTTATCACGATGGTTTCCAGGCGGAACCACGTGGAGGTCAACCTGACGTAGTATATTGTTAGCAATGGGGTCATCAGTCCACATTACTAACAACCCTTCCACCCGGTTTCTTAAGGTTAATGTAAAGGTAAATCTTAAGAGTAATGTTAAGGTTTCTACGCGCACGTGACAGGCGTGTTACCGGCATCCATAGACTACGGTCAGCGTTTACCATCAGATGGGCCGTATGCTTGTTTGTCACCATCATGGTATTTAAAGAAATATCTGAACTTTACAATTTTTCACATCTATAATATTACTAGTTTAACTACTAATCCATTTTTATGGATTTAATCTAAAACGAATATGATAAAATTATATCTCAATTATTACAAAACATTAACGTAACCTTACAATTACTGTATTAGAGGTAAGTACATTGTTATAAAAAAAACAAAGTGTCTATTAATCATATATATTCCGGATTGTATTCTGTTCTTTTACAGTGTTGAAAGACCAGTCATGTCAAATATACATCCGGCCCCCGGGCTCTATCAGTATGGCTCGCAATCGCATATATATTTAACAACCGTATACTATGTAATGTTATAATAATTTGGTACATTTTTTTATGGGAATCTGGCCCACCTATACATACTAAATTTAATATGCGACCCTTTGGAAAATTAGTTTAACACCTCTGGGCTAGACATTACAACCTACACAAGTACTTGATTATTATTTACCTCATTTATTTATTATTAGTTTAATATGTTATATATATCGTATATTATGTATTTATAAACTACATTGGCTCTGTCTTTATCTATTTGAAATTTCTTTTATATAGGTCTTTTAGCTTAATAAGAGTTTACCCATATTTGAGAGCAAAATACTCATATTTGGCAACACCACACTTGCCATTTCTAAAATTTTCATTACCATAATTAACATACTCTCGTACATTATTATTTATCTATAATAATTTTAACCATATGTATGTATTGTCTTGAAAATAACGATTTAAATGTTACATAAAATTTAATATTAATTTGAGAAATAATATTTTAAAAACAATAAATTGTGTGACACCCAGAAGTGTGTGACTTTGATAATACTGTAAATATTTAGACTAGCGTTCTTATGGTTTTGTTATATTTCTTAACAGTAAACAAAGTAAGCCTTGATGGGTCATCGTTATCTAAACACGAGATGTACATTTAAACACTACAGATGTATATACGTATATATGTATTACTAGCTGACCCTCACAACTTCGTCTGTATCACACATACTTGACATTTATCATTATACATCCAATTTACATAATATCTTTTTAAATTATACCCTATGTGTTATTCTGATGTATAAGCTATATTGTAAAGTTTCATGAAAATCTGCACAGTAGTTTTTGCGTGATACAAAGAATTGTCCATCCATCCATTAATATGTTTTTAAACAAATAAATATAGCCTGTGTATTAATCTGATGTATAAGCTATATTGTGAGGTTTCATCAAAATGTGTACAGTAGTTTTTGCGTGAAACAAACAAACGTACTCACTAACTTTCGCGTTTATAATATTAGTAAGATAAATTTCATAGAGCATAGCTTTCGACTTATGCCCGAAACTGTAAAAATTATATTTCTTATTGACGTACCGATAGCCTCTGATCTCTAATTCTAACACATGCCGTCGACCACAGATTAACTGTGTGCGCTTCCGGTCTTTACATAGAACTTACAGATATATTTTATGGGTGATTATAGAGTAGTACACCCGAAGTGCTCTAACAGTTTACGCTGGCGGTGCACCAGTGGACGCTGGCGGTGCACCAGTGGACGATGATAAAATGAGCAGGACATGTCAGTTGTCAATTTGTCAGATCTGTCAATTTGTCAGATCCATCGTGACAATGGTCAACCTGACTTGGTACATTGCTAGCAATGGAAGAACTAGTTTACATTACTAACAATCTCTTTCCCCCCAATATAAATATATTTAGTCTGTCCAAATTATAATCTTATTAATATTAAAAACGCGAAAGTTTGTGAGTATGGATGAATGTTTGTTACCCTTTCACGCAAAATCTACTGAACGGATTTTGATGAAACTTTCAGTAATATAAACTTATACACCAGAACAACATGTAGGTTATGTTTTATATTGAAATTTAAAGCGGGTGAAACCGCGGGCTCAGCTTGGGCACATATTAATTACGTTTAAATTAAAATTAACCACAATGTGTATATGTCGATGACCCACCCCAGTTAAATTACTTAATTAGGTAATTGAATTTGTGTCAGAAATGATACTGTTTGCTCTTTGTACCAATGTTTGAGTACACGCCTAAATAACAATTTGGAATGATAGACTGATAAAGTGTTGACTCATCTTTCGCTGTTTCTTCTTGGCAGATGACTGTCTTAATTGCGATAGAGAGATGCACAACGTGGTGTGATATACACGCATCATACGCATATATACATGCGCATATATACGCATCACATAAAATTACATTTTTTTTGTGTATGGCGATTTTGACTCGATGGTTTAGCGGTTTAGGACGCCCGGTAGTGCACCACTGTCACAACTCTCGTAGTAAAATTACTAATACTAATTGTATACATTTCCAGATTGTTCGGCATACATCCAGACTCCTTGCCGAATATATACAGCAGTTCTGAAGTATACGGTGTCGTTAAAGACGGTTCTATACTGGACGGCATTCAAATATCTGGTGTAAGTATATTGACTTCTATTGCATTCATAATAAAGTACACAATACAGGTACAGTCAAACAGTATAGTAATTGCCATTCCGGTAAAAGAAACTGTTATCGCACTATATCAGGTAAAATCAGTACTATATCTCCTCTCACAATTCATACCGAAACACAGATTCCGAAGGTTTGATAGATTAAGGTATTCCAGGGGACTGTGTACAGGCTTTGTTTGAGACTGATAAAATTTGATGAGCCTATGTTCTATACCTTATAAGTTTGACCATTATTAAGTTCTATACTATAAGTGAAAGACTATGCGTATGTGTGTTAAATACATGGTAATGTGCGTAATGTTTTTTTTTATTGATTCAGTGTATATTATGCATAAATTGAAAAAAAAAAAACCATTTTGCACTCCTCTATTGTAATGTGAAAATTTTATACTCCTCCATTCATTTTAGTAAAAAGGGGACAAAGATTTTGCTTCATTGTATGAATGTCATGATAAAACAATGTGAATAAATGTTTACAATAGTCTAATTTGTGCCTATAGGTATTAATTCATTTATTTATTTCAGGCTACTAGGCCTAATACACTAACATAAACGGGAATTAAAAATATAAGTAACATAAAATAAAATATGAATATATGATATAGCAATCCGTCATGTGCACCTTTATTTGTGTATTTGTGCATTAATATATATAATAAGTTTAATAAATAAATATATATTTTACGACCAGATACTAGGCAATCAACAAGCTGCATTAGTGGGTCAGAATTGCCTTCAAGCCGGACAGGCTAAGAACACGTACCGTAGTGGTTGCTTCCTACTGTGCAACACTGGTTCCCGCCGGGTGCAGTCCACCCATGGACTACTCACTACCGTCGCCTACCAGCTGGGACCAGATACGCCTGCCGTTTATGCTCTCGAAGGTATTTAGATAGATAAAATCGTTATTCGTATTGAAAATATTACAAACACTGCTATAAACTATAAGAAATACAAGAGCTATTTTAAAAGATGATTCTTTTTAAATGAGCTATTTTATAAATTAATAGGTTGCTGGTTTATAATTCAATAACACAGGGTTGAATTTATGAATTTGTATAAATAAAAGATATTTTGGATACCTTTCACTGAATATTTTATAAAATTGAAGGTTCCTGACTAAAAGTTGAACTGACAAACAGCTAGTGCTCAGGCCGTCTGACAAGATCGCGTTACGTCTTGATGATGAATGAATTAATATTTATTTATAGGTTCAATAGCAGTTGCCGGTGGTGCCATGAAGTTCCTCAGGGACAACCTGAAGTTAATTAAGGATGTCGCAAAGGATACAGAACAAATAGCCGGTCAGGTGTTTTCGACAGGCGATGTGTACTTTGTACCGGCGTTTAGTGGTTTATATGCACCGTATTGGAGGAAAGACGCTAGAGGGTGAGTTTGTCTATATATTTATCTCTCCCTCTCTGTATCTTTTTTCTCTCTCTCTATTTTTGCCTCTCTTTAAGATAAAAATCTTAGTAATATATATATAAACATATTTAAGTATAAACATTGATATTAGTAAACGTATAAATTAGTAGATTTCCATAACTAGACAATATTATATATCCTTACTAATATTATAAATGCGAAAATAAAAGTCTGTCTGTCTGTCTGTCTGTCTCGCTTTCACGCCAAAACTTCTGAACCGATTTAAATGAAATTTAGTACGCAGATAGTCTAGACGCCGAGGAAGGACATAGGCTACTTTTTAATGCGTAAAAAGGGTTGTAAGGGGTTCAAAATGGAAATACAAGGTTATCTTTATGCGGCTAGAATATTTATTCGTCATCTTTACATTTCACTAGCTAACAACCAATCAACACATCGCGTGCGTTTGCGCCATTCGCCATCTTTTCATTTCACTAGCTAACAACCAATCAACACATCGCGTGCGTTTGCGCCAATAAGGTATCCATCACAGAGAAAAAACCCACAGATAACATAATGTAAAACGAAAGATCTTGCCGAAAACATGACGTTGACGTTTAGCGAAAATATTGTTTTTTGACACTTTTTTATGATAAAATCATATATCGTGTGTATGTGTTTTTTAAACCTGAAATTGGCCGATTGCGAGACAAATTTGGAGACTTTTTTTATTAATTTGTTTTACGGCTCTGTACACAAGCCCTGTTTAGCCCAACTTAAAGTTTTACAATATAAATTACAAAAATTAAAGTCAATATCAAATGTCAAATAATAATAAATGTCTGTTGTTTCTCTGTTCTGACGAACTTATTAAAAAAAATTTAATAACAATCACAATTTCTCTCTCTTATTATTTACATTTTTTAAAGTGTTGTGGTGTGGCACTATCCGAAATTAAATTATTTACCCATTTTTGTAGGTTATACAGAAATAATGTGTGGGTGTTTATTTAAAAAGTATTAACACAAAATTAATAAAGTATAGGTATTAATAAATATATGGTTGTTGTATCAAAATAGAATTTTCTTATTTTTAACTAAAATAAAAACTAACTGCCTTTTTTATAAAATAAATGACTTTTTCATTGTGTCATATATTATGAAACTATTTAAATTATTTAGCTGATTGTAAGAAACAAAATGTTGGTTTGTAGATTAATACTGTAAAATTACTATTTGTACGGAAACGATAAAAATATATTTTTGTGCTGCGACAAAAACTAATATAAATGTGAAAGTAACTCTGTCTGTCTGTCTCGCTTTCACGCCAAAACTACTGAACCGATTTGAATGAAATTTGGTATACAGATAGTCCAGATCCTAAGAACGGACATAGGCTACTTTTTAATGCGAAAAAAGGGTTGTAAGGGGTTAAAAGGGGGATGAAATATTGTATGGAAGAATCGTCATTTTTGAAGCTAGAAGCTTGAAACTTATTTTTGAGGCTGTTGATTAAATATAAATAAAAATGACATTCAATGTTTGTAAAAAATTACCCTTAAGGGGGTAAAGTAAAATAGGGGATGCAAGTTTTTATGTAAAATCGTCATTTTTGAAGCTAGAAGCTTGAAACTTATTGTTGAGACTGTTGATTAAATATAAATATATATGACATTCATTGTTTGTAAAAAAATTACCCTTAAGGGGGTAAAATAAAATAGGGGATGCAAGTTTTTATGTAAATTCGTCATTTTTGAAGCTAGAAGCTTGAAACTTATTGTTGAGACTGTTGATTAAATATAAATACATATGAATATGACATTCATTGTTTGTAAAAAAATTACCCTTAAAAAATAAAATAGATGCAAGTTTTTATGTCAAATCGTCATTTTTTAAGCTAGAGGCTTGAAACTTATTTTTGAGGCTGTTGATTAAATATAAATAAAAATGACATTCAATGTTTGTAAAAAATTACCCTTAAGGGGGTAAAAAAAAATAGGGGATGCTAGTTTTTATGTAAATTCGTCATTTTTGAAGCTAGAAGCTTAAACTTATTGTTTGAGACTGTTGATTAAATATAAATACATATGACATTCATTGTTTGAAAAAAAATACCCTTAAGGGGGTAAAATAAAATAGGGGATGCAAGTTTTTATGTAAACACGTCATTTTTGAAGCTAGAAGCTTGAAACTTATTGTTGAGACTGTTGATTAAATATAAATAAATATGACATTCATTGTTTGTAAAAAAATTACCCTTAAGGGGGTAAAGTAAAATAGGGGATGCAAGTTTTTATGTAAACACGTCATTTTTGAAGCTAGAAGCTTGAAACTTATTGTTGAGACTGTTGATTAAATATAAATACATATGAATATGACATTCATTGTTTGTAAAAAAATTACCCTTAAGGGGGTAAAATAAAATAGGGGATGCAAGTTTTTATGTAAAATCGTCATTTTTTAAGCTAAAGGCTTGAAACTTATTTTTGAGGCTGTTGATTAAATATAAATAAATATGACATTCATTGTTTGTAAAAAAATTACCCTTAAAGGGGCAAAATAAAATAGGGGATGCAAGTTTTTATGTAAAATCGTCATTTTTGAAGCTAGAAGCTTGAAACTTATTTTTGAGGCTGTTGATTAAATATAAATAAATATGACATTCATTGTTTGTAAAAAAAATACCCTTAAGGGGGTAAAATAAAATAGGGGATGATAGTTATTATGTAAATTCGTAATTTTTGAAACTAGAACGATGAAACTATTTTCATTGGTGCTTTTGGGGTAGATTTTTAAATACCCCACTAATGTTATAACTGTGAAAGTAACTCTGTTTGTCTTTCTGTCAGTCTTACGCTCCAAAACAAAACAAAAATTTAAATGAAATTTGGTACACAGTTAGTTTACACCCGGACAAAGAATATTATAGGGTACTTTTGAATGTGAAAAAAGGATTGTAAGAGGGTTGCAATGGTAAGCTGTATGGAAGAATCGTCATTTTTTAAAACTAGAAGTTTGAGACTCATTTTTAGGCTGTTGTTTAAATATCAATAAATATGACATTCAATGTTTGTAAAATTTTTACTCTTAGGGGGGTTAGTAAAATAAAATAGGGAATGAAAGTTATTGTGGAAATTTGCTGTTTGTGTGGTTGTGGAAGCTAGAACGATTAAACTTTTTTCTTTGTCTTTTTAGAGTTAGTTTATTAAATACCTTACTGATATTATAAATTTGAAAGTAACTTTGTCTGTTTGTCTCGCTTACACGCCAAAAATACTGAACCGATTTAAATTGAAATTTGAAACAGATATAGATAGACTAGATCCTGAGAAAGGACATAGGTTACTTTTTAATGTGAAAAAGGGTTACAAGAGGATTGAAAGGGTAGATCCAAGGTCATATAGATGTATCGTCATGTTTAAAGCTAGAAGCTTGAAATTTATTTTTTAGCCTATTGATTAAATATTTATTTTTATTTTTTATCATTTTTTAAGCTAAAATGATGAAACTTATTTATTTGACTTATATTGTGTTGAGTTAAATATTTTTTCATTATTTACGCGGACGAAGTCGCGGGTACAGCTAGTACGTATATAAAATATATCTATGTCGTGGAATATAAAGAAGTAAAGAGAAGCAAAAACCTAAACGAGAAAAAAGACAGGTAATGTGATTTTTAACAATATTTCTGTGACGGATAGGGCTTATTTTAATTTTGACACTATTAAATTCGCTTTATTTTCGGAATATTAGCTGTACACATATATTGAAAATTTAAGTTATTGTTGTCTGTACATTGAAAATAAATATTATTGATGAATATGATAAAAAATATTATTGAGGAACCCAAAACAAATAATATACTTATTGTTTGTTTGTTTGTGCATTTGTAGTATCAAAAGTGGCTTAACGATTTAGATACATATTTACTAATGTATTTTTAAGAATACATTACGCGGGCTCAGCTAGGATTAGTATTATTTTTTCTAATAATTGATTATTATATAGAAAATACTTGTACCGACATTATTAGAAATGGTATAAAAGTATTTATCGTTTTTATTTTTTTATTTTCAGAATTATCTGCGGTTTAACAGCATTCACAACAAAAAATCACATCATCAGAGCGGCTTTGGAAGCTGTGTGTTTTCAGACGAGGTAAATCTGGTTTTATCATTATAATTGTATCATTGCACTTTTTTTATACAACCATGCCACCATGGGGCAATTAAACATGCGACCCATTTGATGGGAAATGGTTACCGTCAGAATAGTCAGAATTAGGTTAGACTAATGTACCCTCATAGAACAAGCAAGCTTTGTAAAGAGTTTGTGAAAGAATCTGATCCCTATTAAATATCATATTATATTTTTTATTTTATTTTTATTTACACAGGGATATATTAGAGGCTATGAACAAAGACTGCGGTATGCCTCTATCGAAGCTACACGTGGACGGCAATATGACGTCCAATAACTTACTGATGCAGTTGCAAGCTGACCTCATCGGTATTCCTGTCTGTGAGTGTTGTACCACATCTTTTATTAATGTGGAAGATCCGATCACTTTAAGAAATTGGCGGGTCTTTTAGGGAATAAATCGCCGGCTACTTGTACGAGTTAACTGCCCAATATCGCCACGGAATTCCTTCTTTCCGCCATAGTGGTAGGGTTGGGGGAATGGAGATATATTTTTATATACAAGATGAAAATCCGGCTTCGTGAAATGTAACTCATAATACACATCTAGGTATGTATATTATTAGATATTTCTTCTATTATTTGATTTAAAATCCCTTCATTATTATGCCAGTTGATTAATGTAACGCAGCAGGCTACGCGCGTTTGTCGATTTACTCTATTGAATTTATGAGGGACCCACTTTTCAAGCTTTTTCACCTTCCCAATTTGCTAAAGGATTAAAACAGTTTTGTCACTAACACCGCAGCCTGTAGCTAACTCGGACGAGTTTGCGATGATCCGCTTCCACAATAGCCTTCAATTCTTCATTATCAACCTTGGATTCCGGCCGCCCACGGAGATTGCTTAGCATGTCGAAATTTCCATAACGAAAACGTTGGAAACAAAAAATGCATGTTTTCTTATACGAGACCACTGCCATACACATAATTAATACTTCGAGCTGTTTAACACCGTGTAGCACTGGTGCCACAACGGAACTCGTACTCGTAAATAACGCGATATTTTAAGTTTTTTCATTTTGTATGCTGTGAGTGACCCAAAGTGAATAGCTGTATAAATTTGGAAATGGAATTCCTAACCAAAGAGGAGATATTTGAGATCAAAGTGGCTAGTACGACAAAACGCCAATTTCATATATAAGGACCTAATATTATTTCTCTATTAAAAAAAATAATATTCATAATATTAATGTTTTTAAATTCACATATATAGGTTCATATACAAGCAGTGTACATTATAATATGATTGAATATGGGTAAACCTGTGTGTGTTACTGCAAAACAAATGTATTATATGATATTACTTTAAATAAGAGCGGACACTGGGCCTATAACCAGTTTGATCGTGTCGGTCGGGTGTGCAGCGCGCTCTCTAGTATATATATATATAACAAATATATTAAGTAATATTCCTTTTGCTGTAAATGAGAGTGTATAGTGAGCCCATAACCTTTTTATACTGAGATGTTCTGAAAGTACATATACTTTAAATGATATTCCTCTCGCAATTAAGGAGGGCGGGTTCTGGACCCATAACCTTTTGAATATGTTTTTTTTTAACGTGTCGATCGGTCGTGCAGTGCGCGCTCACTCGTGGGACATGTCGGCGCTGGGGGCGGCCGTCGCGGCCGGCGGCGCCGCGCGCGTCTGGAGCGTCACGCGCTGGCGGCGGCAGCCCACGCCCACCGACACCTTCCTGCCCACCACCACCCACGACGGTAACACTCGCACGCGGATCTCCCGGGGCCCACCCGGGGGACGGGCGGCACGCGGCGGAGGCGGCGGCCCACGCCCACCGACACCTTCCTGCCCACCACCACCCACGACGGTAACACTCGCACGCGGACCTCCCGGGGCCCACCCGGGGGACGGGCGGCACGCGGCGGAGGCGGCGGCCCACGCCCACCGACACCTTCCTGCCCACCACCACCCACGACGGTAACACTCGCACGCGGATCTCCCGGGGCCCACCCGGGGGACGGGCGGCACGCGGCGGAGGCGGCGGCCCACGCCCACCGACACCTTCCTGCCCACCACCACCCACGACGGTAACACTCGCACGCGGACCTCCCGGGGCCCACCCGGGGGACGGGCGGCAGGCGGCGGAGGCGGCGGCCCACGCCCACCGACACCTTCCTGCCCACCACCACCCACGACGGTAACACTCGCACGCGGACCTCCCGGGGCCCACCCGGGGGACGGGCGGCACGCGGCGGAGGCGGCGGCCCACGCCCACCGACACCTTCCTGCCCACCACCACCCACGACGGTAACACTCGCACGCGGACCTCCCGGGGCCCACCCGGGGGACGGGCGGCACGCGGCGGAGGCGGCGGCCCACGCCCACCGACACCTTCCTGCCCACCACCACCCACGACGGTAACACTCGCACGCGGACCTCCCGGGGCCCACCCGGGGGACGGGCGGCACGCGGCGGAGGCGGCGGCCCACGCCCACCGACACCTTCCTGCCCACCACCACCCACGACGGTAACACTCGCACGCGGACCTCCCGGGGCCCACCCGGGGGACGGGCGGCACGCGGCGGAGGCGGCGGCCCACGCCCACCGACACCTTCCTGCCCACCACCACCCACGACGGTAACACTCGCACGCGGACCTCCCGGGGCCCACCCGGGGGACGGGCGGCACGCGGCGGAGGCGGCGGCCCACGCCCACCGACACCTTCCTGCCCACCACCACCCACGACGGTAACACTCGCACGCGGACCTCCCGGGGCCCACCCGGGGGACGGGCGGCACGCGGCGGAGGCGGCGGCCCACGCCCACCGACACCTTCCTGCCCACCACCACCCACGACGGTAACACTCGCACGCGGACCTCCCGGGGCCCACCCGGGGCCCACACGGGGGACGGGCGGCACGCGGCGGAGGCGGCGGCCCACGCCCACCGACACCTTCCTGCCCACCACCACCCACGACGGTAACACTCGCACGCGGACCTCCCGGGGCCCACCCGGGGGACGGGCGGCACGCTGCGGAGGCGGCGGCCCACGCCCACCGACACCTTCCTGCCCACCACCACCCACGACGGTAACACTCGCACGCGGACCTCCCGGGGCCCACCCGGGGGACGGGCGGCACGCGGCGGAGGCGGCGGCCCACGCCCACCGACACCTTCCTGCCCACCACCACCCACGACGGTAACACTCGCACGCGGACCTCCCGGGGCCCACCCGGGGGACGGGCGGCACGCGGCGGTGGCGGCGGCCCACGCCCACCGACACCTTCCTGCCCACCACCACCCACGACGGTAACACTCGCACGCGGACCTCCCGGGGCCCACCCGGGGGACGGGCGGCACGCGGCGGAGGCGGCGGCCCACGCCCACCGACACCTTCCTGCCCACCACCACCCACGACGGTAACACTCGCACGCGGACCTCCCGGGGCCCACACGGGGGACGGGCGGCACGCGGCGGAGGCGGCGGCCCACGCCCACCGACACCTTCCTGCCCACCACCACCCACGACGGTAACACTCGCACGCGGACCTCCCGGGGCCCACCCGGGGGACGGGCGGCACGCGGCGGAGGCGGCGGCCCACGCCCACCGACACCTTCCTGCCCACCACCACCCACGACGGTAACACTCGCACGCGGACCTCCCGGGGCCCACACGGGGGACGGGCGGCACGCGGCGGAGGCGGCGGCCCACGCCCACCGACACCTTCCTGCCCACCACCACCCACGACGGTAACACTCGCACGCGGACCTCCCGGGGCCCACCCGGGGGACGGGCGGCACGCGGCGGAGGCGGCGGCCCACGCCCACCGACACCTTCCTGCCCACCACCACCCACGACGGTAACACTCGCACGCGGACCTCCCGGGGCCCACACGGGGGACGGGCGGCACGCGGCGGAGGCGGCGGCCCACGCCCACCGACACCTTCCTGCCCACCACCACCCACGACGGTAACACTCGCACGCGGACCTCCCGGGGCCCACACGGGGGACGGGCGGCACGCGGCGGAGGCGGCGGCCCACGCCCACCGACACCTTCCTGCCCACCACCACCCACGACGGTAACACTCGCACGCGGACCTCCCGGGGCCCACACGGGGGACGGGCGGCACGCGGCGGAGGCGGCGGCCCACGCCCACCGACACCTTCCTGCCCACCACCACCCACGACGGTAACATCGCACGCGGACCTCCCGGGGCCCACCCGGGGGACGGGCGGCACGCGGCGGAGGCGGCGGCCCACGCCCACCGACACCTTCCTGCCCACCACCACCCACGACGGTAACACTCGCACGCGGACCTCCCGGGGCCCACCCGGGGGACGGGCGGCACGCGGCGGAGGCGGCGGCCCACGCCCACCGACACCTTCCTGCCCACCACCACCCACGACGGTAACACTCGCACGCGGACCTCCCGGGGCCCACCCGGGGGACGGGCGGCACGCGGCGGAGGCGGCGGCCCACGCCCACCGACACCTTCCTGCCCACCACCACCCACGACGGTAACACTCGCACGCGGACCTCCCGGGGCCCACCCGGGGGCCGGGCGGCACGCGGCGGAGGCGGCGGCCCACGCCCACCGACACCTTCCTGCCCACCACCACCCACGACGGTAACACTCGCACGCGGACCTCCCGGGGCCCACCCGGGGGACGGGCGGCACGCGGCGGAGGCGGCGGCCCACGCCCACCGACACCTTCCTGCCCACCACCACCCACGACGGTAACACTCGCACGCGGACCTCTCCCGGGGCCCACACGGGGGACGGGCGGCACGCGGCGGAGGCGGCGGCCCACGCCCACCGACACCTTCCTGCCCACCACCACCCACGACGGTAACACTCGCACGCGGACCTCCCGGGGCCCACCCGGGGCCCACACGGGGGACGGGCGGCACGCGGCGGAGGCGGCGGCCCACGCCCACCGACACCTTCCTGCCCACCACCGGCCCGGGGCCCACCCGTGGGACCCAGGCCGCCGTACCTAACATATGTTGCCATTTTTAAAATCTAAAACTTCACCCTATAATTTCCCTGTCATCACCCCCCAAACTGAAAAACAGAAGTAAACCGCTTGGCAATTAAAATATGAGACAGTGTTAAACACACAGACTACTTTATACAAAGTCTACTTCACGTCTTATTGATCTTTACACTTTAATTTATATTTTATTTCAGATCGTGACGCGCGGTATACGAAGTGGAAAATGGCTGTGCAGCGCTCCCTAGGATGGGCGACGACTAAAAAATCTATCACTATGACAGGTCAGACTAAAAGAACTAGCATTATACAGCTTCCAAACCTTAATTTCGATAATAACGTAACCGATAGGAAAAACTCCATCAACGATGAACAGACCATAGAGCAAGATAGTAGAAAAGATTCCCTCGCGAATCACGTCATAGACAATCCAGTAAGCGTAGACGGCGAAATAAATGCGTACGAGGAACTACTTAAATATGCGGCGAGAAAGTTCTCAATCTTGGTCCCACTTAAAACACCCAAACATGAGCATACTATTTTGGATGATGTAGATTATTTTATGAATAAAAAAGAGTGTGACTATGGTATGTGTCAGTGTTGCCCTATAGAGAAAAAGTTGCAAACTAACTGGCAATCTATAGAGGAAATCATAGAGAATGACCCTGAGATCATATTCGATAGCGACAATAATCCTATTGTTATTGAACGCGTTAGAAGTCAACTATGATATTGAATTGTGATTAGACTAAAAATAATATTAATTAACAATAAATTATTTAAAAAAAATGTTAAATATATACCAATGTTTAATTAAATAGAATATGTGCATGTTCATAATCGTAATCATAGTTACAAGGTGTTATTACAAATGTACTTAAAAAAAAAACGTTCCTTATAGTAATAAAATGTCCGGAATATTCGGCCGCCTACATTTGTAATATACGCCAAAATATACAAGGTGTAATTAAGCGTGTAGTAATCCGTAATTCATCAAAAACGATCAAATTTCATGAAAGCTTAACTTTAAAAACAATCCTCGCCAATATATGTTTCATGTTAAATTAATTACTTCTCGGCAGTATGTATAATTATTAGGAATCTATAATATTTGAACATAGGTTTATATATTGATTATGAAACTTGAAGAGATTGTATATCTAACTCCCAAGCGCCACCAAATAAAATATAAATGCATACAGTTTTAATGTTTTTAAAATGAAAATAGTTATCAACTGCATTGCCATAATTAAGTGCCTGATTACTGATTTAGATCCAGATTAATTGCACGTTATTTTATTTAATGGATTTCGGATTGTTATATCTTCTATATTCATTACATCTTGTATAAAATATAATTAATTTTAATGTGCGTGTGTACTTAAACATTATTTACGGCAATAAATTGATATTTGCAGACATATTCCTAAAACAAGCAATGCAAATATAATTTAAAAAAATATACAATTTAGTTATTACTTATAAAAAGACCAGAAAATAATGTTTAAAATATTATGTATAGATATGATTTTGTTATTATTTAATTATTGATTTAAAACATATCTGCTTATTAAATCTATCGATAAAGTATTCGTTCATCATGATAGTCTACTTTAAAGTATAAACTTAATATATGCTTTATTGCACTCATAATACAGTGCTAATTATAATTATAGACAACGCGAGAAAAGATAGACTTACCTAATAGAGATCTCTTCCATTTAATCTTAAGACAGTGTGACATTGGCAGTAGTCAGATGCGAAAGTAACGATATTTTTTCATCGTGTTCTTGATTAAATGCATAATTATAATTTATATATTGATTATAATTATATATAATATCTGTTAAATTCAGAAATAAACTATCAAAATAAATGGATATTATAAAAACATATTTTAAATTAGTATATCTGAAATGTAAGATTTTATACTCATTGAAATTACGCTGTTGATCTGAATGTTTTTGGACGCTCGTGAACCTAATTATGTTACCGTAAGGTTCAAGTTAGTTGGACGGTATTCAACAAACCACGTTGCTTAGTATACAAGTAGTAGTATAATTCTGTAATCAGTTTCTACTAACAAATAATTTTAAGGTTTATTAACATCTGTCAAATAAACGTATTATTTTTCTCCTCTACTGAGTTTTTCATTTTCACTCCTTGCATGAGGTTTTGATTGTTGGGTTCTCATTGGACTTTTTTTGGTTGCATTGTTATTAATATGTTTCTTAATACTTTTTGGGTTTACATTCTAAATTTGAACATTGGAATATGCATTATATTTATTATTTTCTTAATATATGTGTCATAGAGTAAAAATATAAAATTACAGTGTGCCAGTATTTTGTGTTATTTTGAAAAAATATATTATGAGAACTTTTGTTTAATTTAATATTTATACAACTTATTGATACTGTGATGGCGTAAATATTTATATTTGGATCATTTAACATCCTTCATCCCATTTCATAATTCATATCATTCGATTTAGCCATTTTCAAACAATCATTAGAGGTGTTATGAAGTTAGAATACATACACATATTAATTACATACCTAAAGTGTTGTGGTATAAAAATATATACTGTAAAATATAATAATTTACTTACTATTTTTGTGATGAAAATAAATATTTTCTTAACAAATAGCTTTATCTATAAAAATAATACACAGTATAAATGTGTTACGTTTTATTTAATTGCAGATAAAATAAGAGATAAGTTTTTAGTATATTCTTTTACTTTGAATAGTTATAAATGTGTTGTTTATGTATTAATAGATTCAACATTTTGTGTAGCTAGTCGATTTTAATTATAATTTTTTTGTTTTCAGACGAAAGATACCGACTTCTTGCTTCAATACCAGCGACGTTGTATGTTATAGGCAGCTTTACAATGCTAGTGGTATCAACTATGCTCAATAATAGATGATAAGCGAAATATTTGTATTTATAGCACGCATAAAGAAACTGCATCAACTCGGAAATTAAATACTTTGGAAAATTGGTTCTAATATGAAGGTATTAAAGTACATTTAGTACCCCGGGTGTTACAGGCGTCCATAGGCTACGGTAACTGTTTACCACCAGATTGGCCGCATGCCTGTTTGCCACCTACGTAGTTTTAAAAAAACATTTTCTAAAACAATTAGTTTTTGATTTAATGCGGTCTTTTTAAGCGAGCTTTATGTTTATTTTTAATCAATTCCAATTGAACATTTGTAGTCATTCTGTTATTTTGACATTTATTAATTTATTTAGATAATTTTACAAATTCAGTAATGAAAATCAATTAGTTATTTAATATTATTTCTTTGTTACAATCGAATGAGGTTAGAACAATATACTCGTGTTTCGAATCCTTTTTTTTTTAAATAAATTATTATACATTAAAACTTTTAACAGTCCGGTGATGGAAAACATTGTTAACAAACAAAAAACGGCGGTGTCACCCAAACGTACCAATGTTAGATTTAGACATTTTTGCAATTTATAGAATTTTTCATTCCACTATAATATGACTGTATTAATATAAACAAACATAATCATGAGTAATATAAATAAATCCTTGTTTTATGTTTCTATTAAGTTGTGATTGTACCTCAATAATAGTTTCTCTCTCCCTTCCGTCTACAGAAAACAATGGATTACATTTTTATTATATACTAGCTCGCTCGCTCGGTTTCACCCGCGTGAAATTAGCCTATATGTTATTCCAATGTATAAGGCATATTACTGTGAAGTGTCATTAAAATCCGTTCAGTAGTTTTTGTGTGAAAGAGTAACAAACATCCATCCATACACACAAACGTTTGTGTTTATAATATTAATAAGATAAGCTACGGTGACTCGGAAAACACGGGCTATTTCTATTAACACAAAATGTGACTGTATCAAATTAAACCATACACAATAATAAATACAACCTAATACAGTGAGTGAGAAGACATTAATAACTGTGATAAAGTTCTAACGTCATTCTGCTTGTAATGAATTCGAGATTCGTTTGTAACAAATGCAAAACAAGAGATTTGTTTCTTTTGTTAAAAGTGATGTAATAAAAATATTATTTATAGGGTACAAAGGCATGATACCTTAGTCTTCCGGAACAGAAACGTATAAGAGGCATCATACTATTCATGTAATAGTGACGTCTTCCTATAAGCTGTTCTGCCTTGTTTGCTATTTCAGTTACATTAAAAGCAAAAGTATAAGCTACAGTAACTATTTGCCATCAGGCTCGACGTATGCTTGCTTGCCACCGTTGTAGATATTATATAGTTAATAATGAAAAATGTTAATAGGTATATTGTACTCTTAAATATTTGCATCACATGATACAAATATTTGAAATCATGATTATGAAGGAAAAATAATATTTTCCACTAAAAAGTGCCGTAAAGATAACTAGCGTAGCGACCCGTTAGTGTGTGCCTGCCCTTATTTATTTTCATAGCGTAATTTTGTTATTTCATTTGTATTTATTTCTTTTATCACAATTAGGTATATTATGTTTGTTACTTCTATACAGATCATGAGAAGTGAACAAATTTCGAATTTTATTAATATCTTTTAATGCAACTGTATGTACCCAGTGTTGTTTAAAACAAATTGTTGTACTTACGTGTTGTTTATTTATAATGGAAATGGTTGATTTTTTAATATTTTTTTATATAAATCATAGGCTGTTATAGGTTAGGCTTTGCGTACACGAACCGTTTCGGTGATGTTGCGATTGTGGGTAGTTGAGTGAATAAATTAAGTTAAGGACCATAGATGTAGATATAAGTTTAAAACAAATAGAATTGGCTTATTTTTTTTGTTTGTGATGTTTGGATGAATATTCAATAGTGGTTCCACCAGCTCTAACAGATTACGCTGGCTATGGACTAGAATGACCATGAAAGGTAGTAAATGAAAAAACAAATTTGTACCGCGACTTACTTAGAGGAAACGCCACTACACATCCTATGTGATTGTAGCCCACTCATGCATAATCGAAATATCTCCTTTGGAAAGTTTACACTCTATCCTGAGGAGAAAAACCATCACTCCTAAGAATATCCTTCAATTCTTATCCCTCACGGGTCTAGCTAACTTTGAAAAAGCGAGCACAATAGATCTATGCAGGTCGCAGTGCACCTGTTAATAACACAAAACCCTCAAAAATAAAACATTGTTATGGCTCGATCTCATTTATAGCGGATGCTCTATTTACAAAAGAAAATAAGTAAATATCTCTATCAGTTATTTAGTATGCCCACAATATAAGCTCTACTTAGTTTGGGACTAGATGGCACTGTTGTCCAAGTTTATTATAATTGTCTAAATGAAAAACATATGCTAATTCTATTTGATCCGTTGTTCCTTTTTCCGTTTCTTGTTAAATTAGTAAGATTCGACTGATTTATTTATTATTAAGTAAATATGGTTTAAATTTTCTAATAGCAAAACCTATTTCTGCTTTTGGCTGTGTATTCAGTTGTTAATTAATCTATGTAGTAGACAGAATAAATTGTCACATATCGCGCGACTAATCATAAAAGGCATTAACTTAAAAATATAGGTAATGGAAATACGACCTTACTATAATGTCTTTAAAATTCATTTTTGTCTATATATTGCTTGAGATTCGGTCAAAAATGTTAACATGCAAAAATACTCATTAAAAAATAGTAACGGAAAATCAACTCTAAGTGTAAAATATTTAAATATAATTTGTCAATTATATTTTTACATTCGCTCAAAAACTCAAAAAAGATATTGTAATTGAAAATCGACTCTATAGCAAAAAGTTATAAAGTGCGTTCTCAATATTTTTTTATAAAATGTAGTCGTTTGTACATACATATAATGGATAAAATTGCCGACTTATGAAGTTATTGCAGCATTTTTATGTCCTAAAACTGTGACAGTTTCTTGTGTAGACTAAGAATAGTGTAGTTAGGTCAATTTGGGTTTCTAATTTTTTTTTATGACTAAGTAATGCAGACATCCAACATGTAATATCAAATATCTTTTTAAAAATATTGTACAGCTATCATTATATACTATGTCATAGCACCAGTTATATTCAAGCAATAATAAATACAGATTAAATTACTGCTCACAGAAAAATATTCAATCATCCAGGACGATACGTTTTGCGTATTTATGAATTAGTTATTATTTATTATTGGTTGTATAGTTATGAATTTGAAAAACCTTATTTGTGGATTGTATTATAATAATAGGTGTATATATTCTAACATATTTTCCATTTCATTTAAAACGAAGCTAACTGTGCCATATTTTACAAAATCTATAGTCCAACATACAAGTATTTTATAAACACTGTACTGTGTGTACTTATATATCAGACAACTACATACGCAAATAACACGTTTTATACATGTAAATGGAACATGTTTCATAAAGTTTTTTATATATAGAATTTTATACACGGCATGTATATCTATACATGTAGGTAATGTCATCTGTTTGTATGATACATAAACTGTACAAGCATGAAACATGTATAAATGTATATGAAGCATGTTTCATATTTTATCAGACATCCTATCTTACATAAATGTGGTGAATATTTTTTACCCCTATTAGGGGTGTAGGCGGGTACTAGTAGGTAACCCCTAGTAGTTCTCCTAACTACGATATGATCGTTGTTTTTTTAATAAGTCACAATGTAGGTGGAGTGAAGTGAAATTCGTATTGGATCTATACATGAAATCACGATGAAATCAAACTCATGACAATGTTAGCAATAACAGCTAACTTATTATTATTGACAATAAGACCCATTTCCTGTAATCTAAAAGTAATTTATTACTGATGTGCCAGTTTCTAAAATCACAGCTTTACATATTATTTTGTAAGGATATAAGACTACTTGTTGATTGTTAAGTTACTCACACTTTTCGTTTGAAACAGATTACAATTGACACTATAAACAAGATAAACACAATACAATTGCAAATTAGCTGTATTTATACAATTGCTGATTATATTGTGTTGTCTTAAATAAATTGCAGAGAAATAACAGATGGCAACTTAAACTGTCAGAAAGGTATTTACATAATCGCTAAGCTGTCAATTTTATCTGCTTTCAATGACTAGTTACCAATATAGAGACAGTCATAAACTTAATGGCATCGATAAATTAATATAATAGGTTCTTTATAATAAATTGTTGGGTTGTTCATATTGTTTTATTTTCAATTCTATATCCATTTATAGGACTGGTAAATAAGAGCCCATCCTCAAATCGCCTCACATGTATTTAATGTTCTTTTACCTCTTACATTTTGTGAGTCTCTTTCTCCCTAGTCTGACGTCACATATTTTAGTATTTTATTTAATCTCTAGTGGTTTTGCACACCGCCTTTCGATATTCGCGGGTTCGATTCCTCGCATGGTCTAAACATTTGTATTCATGACTGTATCTGTATTGATCTGGGTATGTAGGTATAAATATATTCTATATATATTTTTTAATAGAATAAACTATATATTTAATGATATTTATATCTGTTGTCCACTATCCATAACACAAGCTCGGCTTAATTTGGGACTACATATGATTTAACCATATGACCTATTGTATGTACCTACGACTCAAAAGACATTCTCTAAAAATTGTGTAAATTCCAATTGGATTCTAACAATAATTAGATCTAGGATCTAGGAGCTTAGCTCAAGAGTGAGAGATACGGTAGTAAGCTTTCTCTTTTTGTAAGCTTTCTTGTATTGAAATAAAAACCTCATTAATAAAACCTTCTTTAGGATAACAGTTCTGATCGTATATGTTAGTGTTTGTAATCGATAATATAAAAAAATATTTAGTCGTTCTTCCACATTCAAAAGCAACACCTATTATTATTAGAATGCAACATGGTTTATATATTAATACTTTTTAATCATATTTATACCCATGCGAAATCGGAGTGACTAGGTAAGTAGGTACAGTAGTACTAGTCAGTTACAAAAAATATACTGCTTCCTATTTCCAGTGTCGTGTACTGCTGTTATTATCGATATAAGGAACAGTTGTTATGACATTTTTAACTAAATACGACCTATAAAGTCTTTAAAACGTAATGAATATTTATTTTATTATGAATATTTCCATTCATTCCATTATTATTTGCTTTGAATTAAACTGATGGGCAAGTAATTATATACACAGAAGTTGGCCAGCCTGAAATTAATTTTTACAATGGCAACATTCCATAAACGTCAAAGTCACGAGATTAGAACATCTTTCATACAGAATTATAAATTGGCGAAAAATTTAAACAAAATCATAAATTATGAATTAAATTCATTGTTGACAGTATTATAAGTTGAATATAATTAAGCAATATTTACAAAATAAACGATAATTAACTTATTTATGACTATGTACATGTAAGTAAAATATTTTCCGTGTCGTGTTTTGTTCGTAAAACTTTCAAGAGGCATATTAGAAAAATAATTATAATATCATTAAAATGATTGATATAGGAAGTTTACCTGTGGAAACGTTATTAGAAATACTCCTAAATACGAACGGTGTTACTCTGGGTAGGTGTAGAAGAGTTTGTAAACAATGGAAAGCAATCATAGACGAGTCGGACTTGATTTGGTACGAGATCTGCAGAAAAGAGTTTATGTATTCTTCTAGAATTGCAAAGAGTAAAGCAGGCGATGAATGCAGCTGGTATCATATATATAAAAATCTAAGAATGTGGTGCAGTGTTACCTCTTTTCAGAGAAACATAAGAGAATTTTACAATTTTTCATTGCACGACAAAAATCATGCATTACCCATTAATTATAATGTATTACCCTTGAAAGACACTAGAGGTGTTGTACTTTATGATATGGCTACATTAAAGAATATTCCAGTATCAGTTCCTGAGAGAAATTGTCTTAAAGTTGAGAGCAATGATTCTGTTACAGTAATACTGTTGAAGTCTGGCTTATTTCTACAAAGAACTGTACAGTCAGAAGGAGAGATGAGCGAGGCTTTTTTTAATGCCGATAATTTTATTCTAACTTGTGATGTACTATATTTTTATAATAACAGAGATGTTTACAGATGTGAAATAAAACCAAATAATTTATCGTCACATCTAATTTTACATTGTGATTATGACATCAAGGTGATGCAATATGATGATGGTACATTACATTTGTTTACGGATTGTGGAAGGATTGTTAATGTTGGTAAAGATAAGAAAGTAACAGTGAAGTCAATAGATTGTCCACCAGAGTGGGTGAGACAAATAAAACATATTTGTGTTATAAATGATAAAAATTTTGTTTGTTACTCACGAAATCTATTCAAAATTGAGACGAGTAAATATCAACATTTATATTTGGATTTCCCGCTAATTACAGCATTATTTTTTTATGCTGATATAGTATTAATAGGGACAAAGACTGGTCAGATACTGCTATATCGTTTGGCATCTCAGAAAGTAGCAACCAAACCTATATTTGAAGAGATAGCTGTTTTGCCAAATGGGAAATTTGCAGTACATATAGATGTCTGCGAGAGAAAGACGGGACCAGTTATAGTAATAGGTACATTCTTTAAAATCATGGTTATAGAAATTGATTTCTTTCCACATGTAAGTATAGTTATTTTTATATTTATCTTATTTTTGTTGTGTATCTTTATTAATGTCTATAACAGAATTCATTCATTGTAACAGAATTCATCCAAATTGGTTTAGATTATGTGTGAAATTATTTAAAGATAATAACTTAACAGTAAATGAATAGACAGTAAAATATATTCCAGTAACCAAACAAGACAGGAAACTATTGTATAGTGAGCTTCTGGGACAACATATAGGATCAAGTTTAATATTTTTTTTTATTCCAATACATAATGGGTATACTCAACTATAACAGTGGAGGAAAATATAATAATAATAAATTAATCTACAAAACTGGACTTGCTTTATTACATTCAATTTTTCAAAACTTTATTAATGATTACTTATTATTTTTCAGGAAAAAGAAAAGAAAACATCATTTGGCTCCAGTAAATTACGAATGTATAAAAGATTATTAAGATTACGGGACAGACTGAAAGTTAGCTAATTATACTTATGTATTACAATAGAAATATACTGTGAAAGTAGACCAAAAACACATGAATTAGAGAAGATGTATTTATAATCTATTTGAAATCATGTTTTAAATTACTTCAAACAGAATAATATAAAGAAGTACAATAAAGTATAATTTTATTTATGTATTGAGTACTGTTATGTAACATTTTTCATGATTTATAAATATAATAAATTCTCATATATTTTTAACTAACTTTAAGTATTCATTATTTATTACTGAGAAACTGTTAAAATGTTATTCTGTACGTCTGTATTGTAGAAAAATATAAAAATGTGACTGTTAAATTGGAGTTTTAATCACATATAATCTATTCAAATATAACTTATAAATTGGGTTTTTTTAAGTTTTGAGTAGCTTTGAAATTTAAGTGACTTTGAAATAACTTTTTATTATATTAGGTTTATAAATACATTTCATAATATATTTGTGTTTCCTGACAAGAGATTACAGCAAGGGTACACATATAATTTTTTAAGGGTAGCCAACGTACACGTGACACCCTTGGTGTGTTTCAGGCCTCCATAGGCTACGGCTACGGTAACCGTTTACCATTAGCTGGGCCGTATGCTTGTATGTCAATATCGTAGTACAAAAAAATTACATATGAAGGAATACTAACTGTATCTATAACTCTACCTATCCTATGTAACACTCGTGATATCACTCAAGCTTTGTCATTCCAAAGAATTAAGATGTCATGCCTCATATCCAGAAGTTTCATTGCACTGAAACTTCATTTCATCAGCACCCTACAACCGAAAGCTAAAATACAACCTGCTTGCGGCTGTTTTAGGTGACTCTGAGATACTCACGCAGATAATTTTTTACAGTTTACCTTTGAGAGAGACTTCAAAGTTTACTTTTGTATAACTTGTTTAGAGCGATCGAATTTACCTTACATATAGTACTTGAAGAGACGGGCATACGCGTATGCCTCCTGGGCCGTAAGGGTGGTGCCTCTCAAAGCAAGCACCGCATCTCTACACACATCAAACACCCCTAGATGGCGCGTTACCCCGAAATCTGAAACTCGATATAATTTCGTTTTTGCAAAAGTGTATGTATTGGATCAGATAAAACGGAATTAAATTTGTAAACTCTGAAAATAACTTATCTTAGTATTACTGATGGTAACCAGTAATCATAATTTTTGGGTCTCGACTATACGTAAGTATAGTCGGGATAATAAATAATAAAAAGTTGATTAATAAGTTAAATTATTCAAAGTCGTTTAGGAAATAATATGACAATTATGTCATTAAATAAAAATGATGAAAATAATCGATGGTTTTTTTATCTGATCTGTTAAATAATTTTTATGACAAAACATGGAAATAATTGTTAGTGCATGGAATTTTCATTTAATGTTAGGCATGGGTACCTCCATAAATACACAATGTATATAAAATTGGCTTTTAAAAAAAGAAAATCAGTTGAGTTTCTTGCTAGAACTTCTCAATTGAATATGTAAGTATACTGAAAAAGATTGTATATAGGGAAAAAATATTAATATAAAAATATTGACTACATGAATAAATGATTTTTTATTTGATTTAATTTATAACACAAACATCAGTAACAACAATCTATCTTTCCTAAAAAATCAACTATACCCTATAAAATAACAGAGCAAGATCATAGAACGGATTGCAATCAATACTATATTTTCAATGTTTCAGGGGCTTTATAAGAACTGAAGACAATGCACGAGAGTTTTACATGCATAATATAACAATAGTGCTGTACATGTATATATCACATAGCGCCAATTAATCTGACCCAAGTTAAGCTAGTTAGAACTTGTGTTATGGGTACTAGACTACAGACACAATTACATTTACAGTAATTCAAAAACTATATTTACTACAACATATTAAAAACTTACCATTGAGTTACATGCTTCAACAAACACAAGCCACGACAAACAATATGCAAGGGAAATTAGTTGTATGACTAGTAGATTAAGATCGATGGCTATTTATTTTGGTCCTGGGTTCTACACCGTCGCCTGACGACCCAATCAATCACTTAGCTAATACATAATTAATTTATTCGATATCCTCTTGTTGCACTCCACTAAAATGGACTAAGTGCCCCATTAAATATTAACGGAACAATTAATATGACTACGAGTTAAGAATTTTCATTTCTTTATTTACTTCAGAGTACTAATGACTCTTATAATGTTAATATTAGCATTCTGCCATCTTTCTCAATAAAGTTATAATAATAATAATAATCTCAGGACAATTCACACAGCGCCATCAAGACCCAAGTTAAAGTAGCTGAAGCTTGAGTTATGAGTACTAGATAACTGATACAAATGCATAGATAATTTTTATTTTCGTAAATACATACATATTATATATAGAATCACCCAGACCGATACAAACAATCATACTCATGAATACAAATGTTTGTGTCGTGCGAGAAATCCAACCCGCGACCATCGGATGTAAAGCGATGTGCTAGACCGCTATACCACCGAGGTCATCAATATTATAAACGTGTCTAAAGTACTTTCATGGATTTTTTGTAGATTTCTCTTTTACGCAAAAACTACAGAAAGAATTTTAATGATACTTTACAATAATACATCAAAATAACACAGGCTATATATTTCAAGCAGCTGAAACCGGGGGCACACCCTGATAAAAGAACTGGGTGATGATGTACATAGATATTTTGAAACAATCGTATAATATAACTATCTTACTAATATTATCAACGCGAAAGTTTGTGAGTATGGATGAACGATTGTTTCTCTTTCACGCAAAAACTACTGAACGGATTTTGATGAAACTTTATAGCTTATACATCAGAATAACATATAGGCTATAATTTAAAAAGATATGTAAATTGGGCGAAATATAATGATAAATGTTAAGTAAGTGTGATGCAGACGAAGTTGTGTTGTTCAGCTAGTATAATGTATAAATTATGATATTGTGTGACAATCGGGTAGCAGAGGTCCTAGATTTCGTGATGTTACATTAAAATATATTATATCACAGAATCAAAACGAAATATGAACTATTTATGAAAATCTTTAAAATATTTCCATTACCTATATTTAATAATATTGCAAAATATATCAAGTAAGGAGAGCAACCTGTCTGTGACCAACTGTGACAAAGATTGGGAGGTCAAATTATAAAATTCGACGGAATTTATGGATGGCCTATAGATATGTGTATGTAAACAGGAGACAAACGGACATACATATAAATACAAAAAGAAATACATTAGCTGCATGTCAAGAGTGCTGAATAGTTCATGCACACCACTCTTCTAGTCTGGCCGTGTTTCAGTGGATGGCCCAATGTATTAACGGCAGCGGATGAATTCATCATAAAAGATAGTGACATTTTTTTTATTATGATAATGAAATGGTGCACCCGCCTGAGCTAACGGTTTACGCTGGCGGGACACCAGTGGAGGATAATAAGATGAACATGAGGTCAGTTCAGCTCATTATAACAAGTTCACCTGGAATTTATCACGATGGTTTCCAGGGGGAACCGCGTGGAGGTCAACCTGACATGGTACATTGCTAGTAATGGGGTCATGAGTCCACATTACTAACCTTCCTACCTACCTTCTACCTTCCTAAGATAGTGATATTTAATTTTATAATGTGAAAAGAATTGATATCTCAACCATCGTGTAGTAGGAAAATTATGATGCTGAATAGCTGCAACGGATGCGGGTTAGTTTCTAAACCTCCACGCAAAAGGTAAGTTAAAATAAATAAATATGTAAGGTAAAATAAGTAAGTAAGGTAAGTTCATTTTGATTTTATGATAATGAAATAACACCTGCCTGCGTTTACGGTATACGCTGGTCGAGTAGTCGATGAGCGTGACTTTTGCTAACTGAACACTAACCGGTGAGAAATCACGATGGTTTCAAAAGGGAACAATGTGGAGGTCAACCTGACATAGTATATAGTTAGCAATGGGGCAAGGGTTCTTTGTTCCTTCACCCTCTCTGTTTGTATAATATTCACGAGTATTCACGACTAAAATACTCAACGGATCTTAATCAAATTTACATGAAGATAACACGAGAACCGATACCGAGAGCCTGTATCGGTCTTTTATCTAAAAGTAGTAGACAGAATCGCGAAAATCTTATGAATTGTGGCACAACATTGCGGCTATGTACCGACACGTACCGTCGCTTCTCCAACACGCGTGTTTACAACACGAGCCGAGTAAAGAAAGCTCAAACACTCCGACGCGTTTTGAGTGTGTTTTTACATGTTTTTCACTGCTGTTTATGAGTTGTTGTCCACTGTTCGAAGAGAGTCGACCTGAATTTGAATTCGCGTATAATTTTCGGTATTTATTGCATATTTTATACATACCGTCACGACTATTATTAAACATAGTATAATCAAACTTTAGAGGCATTATCAATTGTCTATTGTGGTTGTGGTGATGTGGTCACCACAACGCATGACTACTCCATATTTCGCCCGATATATTTGAACTTCCGTTTCTCAGATTAATTTTGTTTATGCTATCGATATATCCTTCCTATATATTTCTCTTCTTATAATCTACCAGGCAGTCAATCAGAAATATGTAAAATTATATTACACAAAGGTTTTTTTTATGTAGTTCAAATGTTAACTCAGTATGAGTTAGTCCAAATTTGTAAAACAATCTGTGTTTACTTATTTTGTGGACAAAAGTTCAAGTCAGTAAAATTTATCCTTTTTATAATACTTAATAATATCTCAGGACAATTCACATAGCGCCATATAGTCCCAAGGTAAGCAGAGCTTATGTTATAGAAAATACACAACTAATATAAATACATAGATACATTTTTTTGTACATATTATATATAGAAAACACCCAAATCCATACTTCTCACCGATGACCTTTCGAGAAATCGATGTAAATCAGTGTGCCAACCGCTATACCACCTATATGAATATGTAATTAGTTTAGAAGATAATTGTAATTTTAAGCTCCTAAATAAATAAACAGAAAAAGCAAATGCAACGTCGACAGTTGTGGAAA